TAGGTGAATATAGGCGACATTTTCTAGTTTGGCCGCACTAGAGTGTCAAATTTGGGTGTTTTTTCATATGCAGTTTTCGCTAACAAACTGAATTTCAAATACCGTTAAAAATAGTTTCCATAAGCAGAATTTGAATTTTTTTAGTTTGTTTGAAAGGTAGTTTTATATGGATTCATGAAATGTCCACAAAAATATTTTCTTTTTTTTAATATGGACGGATTAGGCTTTCAATCCAACTATATCTCAATTGCAATTATTTAACATGAGCTCCGTTAATTCGTTAACAGAGGTATGTTAATAGAAATGGTAGGTGTCTTTACTAGTTAAATTCGAATTTATCTTCACACCCTTTAGGAAATTTAGGTTAGGTTTCCAGCGAAAAACTGCGAGGTATCGTACACAAGCGTGCTGGATACGTTTTCACTAAGCGAAGGTATGAAAGATTATCTCAGTTTTCGCTGCAAACGTTAAATTGCGATATTTCGACATATCCTAATATCAGAAATCGGACTTCTCACCACAAGCTTCTTCGAATCCGGGAATCAAGATATTTACATGAGCAAATTCAGTTCATCAAATCTGAGCGGATAACGAACTTAATTCTCGCTTAACCATAAAACTTAAGTTGTTGTTGTTAAGTTGCTGGCGCTGTAAAGTTATGGAACTCGTTGCAACTTCATATCAAAATGATTATTGACGCGAGCAGAGTTAAAGTAGTTATAAAGGCCTTGTATAATTTATAAATCACATCAGCGTTTTATTGTGACAAACTTCTCCCATGAAAAAACAGCTCACAATTTCCAGCATTTTGGGCAATAATCGCTAGGAAAATGCATTTCGGCGTATTAGATTGATGTGAAACATTTGGACCGGTAGGATTAATTTCACGATACAATCGTTCGTACAACGTAAGTCTTTACTTAGAGATCGAGGGTCGAATTTTTTTAATTTGATATAAAAATTAACTGTGCGACATAACATTTTGGATCACATCGGTTCATTTTTTGGACTTAAGACTATCCAAGATTTTAGGGCAGGGGTACACATAAGCACATTTATTTATTTATTTCCATAAACGTAAAAGGCAAAGCCTTTCCTTAGGCCAGTGCATAAGTGTATATTACAAAGGAAGTTCTTGAAGCGTGGTCGATGGGACAATAGGTAAGTTATATAAAGGAAAACTTTGAACATAGTTGACGAGTTAAAATATAAGCCATAGTACCAGACACCATATCTAAATCAGAATGTGCAGCATTAAGAGAGCATAGGCCAATTTACATTTAATCAATTGACGTACATAAATGTTATTAGAGTAAAATCCGCGCAAGGTTTCCACAACTTCACCATGTATGTTAATCTATGTGCTCCTCAAAGGTGAAGCGATTGTCAATATATATGCCCAAGCATTTAAGTTGATCAACAATAGTAATTCTATTCCTACCAATAAATATACCAACTCTAAGAAGATGATACTTGACATTATCAAACAGCATATTTTCTTTAGCCGGTAAATCTGACTTTGTTGAAATTAATGGTACTTATTTTGGAATTTTTCCTTTTTTCTCTGCAATACCGCAGAGTTACGTTTTAGGCCCTCTTCTTTTTATTGATGATCCTATTATGAAAGTGACCATAGATTTTCTAATTATCATAATAATTAATAAGCTGAATATGTAAAATCTTTTAAGGATAGTGCAAGACAAATTCGACTTGACTTCATCCAACTCTCAATTCGCAATTAGGGATTTTCTTTGTAATAATTGGGATAAGAATAAACGAAGTTCGATTAAAGAATTTAAGAGTGACCAGTGCGAGTCGATATTCGGAGTTCTATAGAAGGCAGCTGAATCAAAGCCAGCTATAGAGAAAGGGAGCCCTACTTAATCGATATTTTTGAAATCTCTACATTTAAAATACCGTACCACAATTTCTGAGTTAATACGTTGCACCTGATCAGTATGACTAATCATAATGAAGTGATTCGATGAGCAACATTAAATTGAGCACGTTTGTAACTAATTTACGCAAGCCACATTTAAATCGGGAAACTCGAAAAAATGATAAGATTGATCATAACTGTTTTTAAGAGAAGTCGCCACAGTTAAGAGATGAAATATCGCACTGTTAAGGGGCATAAGGGGCACGACTGCGTACGGCATTCCATTATTTATTTGTAAAGGCTATATAATGTTCACGTAATGTTAGAGACAACAGGTTTGCTTGTATGGTATAACATGAATGTAAAAGCAAATCTACATGTATTAAGCACATTAAGCAGCCTTAAAAGCAAAGGGATGAACGTTAGGTTATTATTGGAATAACAAACATTAATCCTTATGTGTATTCAATCGAAAGATTGGTGGCAGTCTCCATCTCACATATAGCTTAGCACAGTTTGATAAAGCAGAACAAATAATAAATAAAGCTACATACGTAAATGTTTTTAGGGTAAAAATTTTATAAACTTACTTCATTATCTTTGTTATTTCGTATGCCACGAACTAAATCTGTTAAATTTTTATCAAACATACGCTCAAAGTTGCCTTTTACTTTTTTGAGAGCCATTTTTTTAACAAGATCAACACATCCACACGCCGCACAAATCAAACAAGTTGAAAAACCTAAATTTGCTCTTGTTATAGCTTATTATATATATTGTTACAATAATTATAATTTATTCTGCAAGCATCCTTCCGATGATCTTATGGACATTTCTCTATATTTATCTTGTACACATCCACTTGTATCTCTTTGTTTAGTTTGTTAAAAAGAAGTAAGGCTAAGCCATTTTTCTGCATAAATCCAAACCAACCACGGCCAACAGAACAATGAACTAAAACTTGATGATGTAGACAAATTGATTTTTTTTTTTCCAATATGCGCCTTCACTTCTTAAATTGTTACATTTATTCGTCACTAAATTTGCATTAATTTGTTTGCAAACAAATTTTAAAATAATTAATTATTTCTTTCAAAATCTATAAGCATTTTCTTATTTGAACGTTAATAACAAAAAGAATACAAATCTTTTATAATCGAAAAACTTTACTGATTCCTAAAAGAATTTCTCTTTTTCAATTTTAGTGTTGCCAACAGCAATAATTTTAATCGCATGGTTGACGAAAAGGTTGTTTGCATAGGAATTGCATTAAATATGAAAGAGGAATTACAACATATATTTGGCCCGCGCTTTTCAAGAAAAATTGTATATATCAAACAAATCATAAAAAGAATATTTAGTAACAGACAACTTCTAAATCGAAAAAAACGCTTGATATAAATGCGCTTTTATTTTATATATATCATTTTAACTTTTAATATTTACTTATATATATTTATCATTACGGAAACTTTGCTTTAACTTATGTTTACATGTATTCTAAGTCAATTAAACCGTTGCTAGGTAATGCGAACACTTGTTTCTAGCAAATAAATTTAAGTTAGGAGATTGATATAATTTGCAAAACCTAGTCATATTTAAAAAAAAAGACAAATACAATACAAACTTATGTTTTTCATGAAATATTTCTTTAATATATGTATCTTTTAAAAACATGTATACATTAGTAGATAATTTTTTTATTTTATAATCATTGGTATTGATTGTTCTATCTTATAAAACAAAATCGATCGATAACGATCTCATATTTTAAAAGAGATTACATTTATTTTTTTCGTCCAAAATTCAATTTGTATATTAGCATTATTTTTCAGTTTTTAAATTAATTAATTAGTTATAAAAGAACTTATTACGTATGAAATTTTGAACGAAATAAAAACTTAACGAATAAAATTAAACATAAATCCTTTAAAATTAAAAGTTTCTTAATATTACGCTTAATGGGCGTGTACCTTAAAAAAAAAAAAAAAAAAAAAGAAGACAGATTAAATATTATTTAATATATCTATGAAAGTTAGTTCTGAAGTTGTATTTCGTATTAGTAAAAAAGAATTCGAATACAAACAATTGTAATGAATCAACAACAAGATGATTTTTCTGGCTCGGCTACAACTAAATTAAAATCAAGGCTATTTGGCCGAGCGAAACCAGTCTTGATACCGTCCCAACCATCTTCCACTTTGTATTCACCCGAACGTATACGGGAATAAACTGCCTGTGTAACTACGCGAAATGCTTCCTCAACATTATAGCCGGTGCGGGCAGATGTTTCAACGAAGTGTAGACCGTGCTTTTTAGCAAATGCCTGAGCGTCTTCGTAAGAAACTTCTCTATGGCCACCAGCATTGACAAGATCTAATTTGCAGCCCACTAATGCAAATACAGGATGATGCGGCTCAATATGCCTCTGAGCTTCCATCATCCAAAGAGGGATGTGTTCAAAACTGGCGTGGTTAGATATGTCGTACACTAACAGCACTCCCACCGAATTGCGATAGTAGGACTTGGTAATAGAACGAAAGCGTTCTTGACCGGCTGTATCCCAAAGTTGTAGTTTAATTTGTGTACCATCTTTCATTTCAATGAGACGGGCAAAGAAATCCACTCCTACTGTAGGATCAGAAAGCTATAAAAAATTGAAACACAATCACAAAATACAATAAACAAACAACACTAACTAAAAAGATACAATCAGTAGTTGAACAAAATGACACAATTAACCGACAGCGTCTACTATAAACGAGACTTTGTGTTACATAATTTTAAAAATATTTTGATTATCCATATTTAAAGGCATATTGAAGAAAGATTTACCTCGGCAAATTTGCCATCTGTGAAGAATTTGAGCAGTGAACTTTTGCCCACAGTACTGTCCCCAATTAAGATTAGCCGAAACTGGTAATCAAATATAGGCTCCACCATAATTTTGGTTTCAGTACGTTTTTAAAGCTACTCTAAAGCGCTATAGTACAAAAGCAATTCGAACAGGACTTCTTAATAAATCAGTTCAATGTTCCAATAATTTCTGAAAGTTTTCTAAGAACAATCAATTTTAAACCCTAATATATTTTTGCGTAGTTTTTATTATTTCTGTTCGCTTGTCACAGACTACAAAAACAACCACCTTTCCTCGAGTCACTTGATTCCTTTGTTGTTATTGAATAATTAATAGTTCATTTACGATTGTTTGGGCTTCGTTAATATTCAAAATAATAAATTTCAATTTAAAATTCTATTAAACTTGTTAAAAAAAGGTATTTTGCTAATTTTAATGTAGCTTTATTTATTTTTCAATTTTGATCACTTTTATTGATAACTTGTAATTTGTTAGTGTTTGGCACAATATTACATTTTACCACCTTTTCCAAAACGATAACAACTGTAATCGTTAATTTTGATAACACATCATAACTTACAATCCACAACTCGTAAATAGAAACCATGTCTAATAAAATGATTACATAGAGGGATAGAAAAACTCATCGATAATATTAGTTTGTTTTTTGTACTATTTTATGTGATAAAGTGATATTATATGGCTAAGAAGCGTAAAATTCCCGTACGTAAGCATCATGGAATCCGTGATCCTCTCAAGCAAATGGAAGAAAAGGAAAAGAGGTAGACAGTGGTACATGCTATCAATGCTATCAATCAATTTAAAACTTTCTTTTAAGGCTTAAAAATGTCGTCAATAATCCGCCTGAAAAGGGCAACGACCAAAAGCCTTCTTATAAGTTCTCCCAATTTAAAAAATTGTCGGATGATGCTAAAGCAGGGAAAAAATTTAAACGTATATACCGTGGCGTAGAAGATAAACCTGGAGGGAGTATCAAACATAAGGAAATAAACAAATTTAAGAATATAAAACAACTGCCGGGCGAGGATGATGCCGACTATTTGCGTAGAGTTAATCGCATGACCAGCGAGAGTTTAAAAGAAGCTCAATATGAAGCAAAATACGGAGTTCGTGTAATAAGAAATGCTAAAACTGGAGAGATTGCTATTGAAAAGAAGCCACCCAATGAAATTGACGAGTTATTAAAGCAAAAACAAAAGAAAAATGTCAGGGATGGCAGGATAAATAAAAAATTGTTAACAGGTAATCGGAAAATCTTTGATCCGGAAGTTGCCAAAAAATTAATGAAACAAGCGCTGCAGGAAAATGAGGAGGAAAAGAATCGAGACGTTCAAGAGTATAAAAGAGACATAGTTAAATTTGGGGAAGTTGTACATGCGCCTCCTACTATCACAACCCTGCCGAGAAAGGCCCAAAAAGAGGCGACTGTTCCTAGGGTAAGAGTATATAAAAACGCAAATAGCCTAAATTATTCTTAAAAATCTTAATTAGCGATATTTTTCTAATGTAGCCTGGCTCGAAAAATAATTTGTTGTTAAAGCAAATTTTAAATGGACACAAGATTAATCTGGCGGATAAAAATGTTTCATCTAAAAATACGGGAATATCCCAAGAAAAGAGTGAACCATCGAAACATCAGTTGAAAGGTAGACGCCGGGACTTGCCTGCCACTACACGAAATATGTTAGAATCCGAACAACGAAGGATGATATGCTTATATAGAAATTTAAAAAAATCGAAAGCTTGTAAAACCGTGTAGAAATTGATACCTTTACGCATTTACAATTTTTCTTTTTATTACTCTCAACTAGGAATCAACAAAATATATGTTCAAAATAAACAAAATCAGCTTGTTGTTATAAATAAACTAAAAGACTTCTCCAAGAATGCCCTGCACGAATCTAGTTACTTGGAGATCTTTTTTTATATTAAGCATGGCGTTGCATTTGTTATTATTGTAACATGCTTTGTACTTGATTTTTTGGTCGCTTCTTGTTTCGTTATTATTTACATGCCACTTGATCGTTTCTGTAGCATATGAGCGAAACGTTGCGTTATCAGCAAGGATGTGTCAATAAAACGATCTACACAGTTGGTTAAGCAAGTTTCAGTTGAACTATCCAATTTGGAGCCGGGCTTACCAATGCATTTATCCCAGCATATCTCATTGAATTCGTGTATCTGCAATTCACCAAGAGATTTGTTGTGAACCTATAAACACGTGATTGGACGTAGTTAATGAACTGACCTGGGCATTGACCTGAGCTTTTTGTTTTTCAATCATTAAAAATTCTTGCAGTTCTTTATCACCATTTATAGACGAAGATGTAGAGTCGAAATCAGACATTCTTAAAATTTAACACGGCAACCAAATTATTTGTAATTTAATTTAATTCTAGCCGTAAGCTAAAAACCTCCAACAAAATTTATCGTATTTTACATAACCTCCTTTGTCAAAAAATAATGACACCACAAAAATAAAATATTCAGTTCAAACATATGTTCCACCAACAAATTTAATCGCATTGCCATCTCTAATGAAAAAATTATTAGAAATATAGACATTTTCCAGATTTAAGAAATTTATATAAACAATTTTTATATTGAAGACAGCAATATATTTTTTCTATCGCCTTGTGTTTTATGGAAATGAAATCATAGATGAACTTAAGACAAACATGTGAAGAGATTAATGGTTTCAAATATACATTCCACACGATTTTTACTCGACTAAAAAGCGATAAAATGGACTATCATCTCTATTGTAAAATATAATTATATGGATAATTTGTTTTGTTTTACTATATTCTACTCTGAAATTCCGGAATGACTACGGAAGTGACTTCATCTGCCGATTCCTGCATGAAAGATGGAGAGGATTTTATGCCCTCAGCGGAAGAATTGGAAAATTATTACAACATACTTGAGAGCGGTACAATATTAGAATTAGAATGGCAATGTCCAGGACGTCGGTCTCCATCACCTGACTGTGCGAGCAATGCGAATAAGGAGCAAACGAAATCCACTCACACCAATAAAACGCAAGAGTAAATGACTACTCGTTTTGTTTCCCCCTCCTTATAAATGAATATATTTATTATTTTGCCATTACAGACCAATGAAAGCTAATGACTTCGATTTTAGTGACGATATAGCGCAGCCTCAAATGCGAGTACGCAGTCAAAACTCTACGCCAAAATCAGCTAAAAAGAAAACTGCAAATTTTGCGGGTGTTATGGAGGTTCTGAAAAAGAAAAATGCTGAAGATTCATCTTAGCGACGTTGTATTAGCTCAGGAATGTTATTGGTGAATAGAGAAGATTAATTAATATTGTAATGTTGGTTTTATTAAATATTTATTGGATGCTTTAAAATATGGCGAAATTTCCTGCTTAAAGATTCATTAAATATTTTTTTAAAAAATGAAATCGTCGTGAAAATAGTATATATAATGATAAACAATGCTTAACCATCAAATTTATAAAAGGCAAGAGCATTACGACAGTAAAATATATAAAACAATAGATCAATATTTAGTTATGAACGGATAAAATTAAAAAATGTGATAAAATTTTTTTTATGAACAAAATAATAATAAACTATCTTAAGAGAATAAATTAAGCAAACAATTTAATATAATCTATAAAATGTTTAAATCTATCTTATTTACGTGAATTTTACACAGTACAGTACAGTTGAAAAAGGCACTTAAAATAAAATCAATTTTAAAATTTTATTGCAATAAATATAAAACTAGTTATTTATATGTATATTAAAAATCATAAAAGTAATAACAAATATTTTAACATTTAATTTAAAAACAAAATGATTAAAATAAATATAAGCATTATTATAATAACGATCGTATAAATGTGGCTGTTTTAAAGACTTTCTTATAAAAACTATAGAGATTAAAAATTTCATTTCTTCGTGCGCAATATAATTACCATTATCATAAAAGGTAGTAAATTCCATCGGTGTAAATACCGCATATGTAACCGTTTAATTTGGCGTAGTACTGGCAGGTGATGAAGATGGTGTTATACTAAGCTCTGACTTTGGTAAAAAATTGCAAGTTTCATTTTTAATTGACTGGATATTTCCGATTACCATCCTAAAGGTGGGTCGCATTTTCGGATTACTATGCCAACATGGTAGCATTAAGCGTTCATAAACATAATCAGGGCAGAGAGATGGTTGTCGTAACCTAGTAAAATATGAATTTTAACATTTAATACAATTTGAAATATTTATATCAATTATAGTGACTACTAATTGAGATTACTGTTCAACTAATAGCTACATATATGGGTTTTTATGTATATATATATATGATTCAATACCCAATTGCTATTCAGAGATGTTGATATGAAAATTTGTGTCTGTGATGAAAAGCGCCCTTCGTTGTTTAACTAAGATCGAACTCATGCAATATCGAACGGATTTTAGCGCCTTGTAATGATTGCAACTTATTGAGAAGGTCTAGTTCTCTATGTATCAGATTGTAATACAATTCCGCATACTGAGCATATGAATGCTTTTCTCGCTTTCAATATAAATCGCGGCTATATTAATATTACCTATAGAATCGATCCCAATATAAAAATAGAGCAGGAGAAGCCCAGTAGAACTAAGCGAAAAATAGTGGAGAGATAGATAGTCTCTGTAGCTAATTGGACGTATTAGCTATGGTGTTTTAAACCCTGATTATTAAATATAATGTCTGATGCATAAAAACTTACCGATCCCCCCTTTCCAGTCTTTGCAAGAATTCATCCTGTGTTAGTTCCTTGTCTGGATCTAAATTTGGCGATTCGCCTCTCGAGAACATTTCAAACAGCGTTACACCATATGACCAAACATCTGATTGGAAAGAGAATTTGGCATCTTTTTTAATGGCTTCGGGTGAATACCTATAAATATTTTTGAACGGTATTAAATTGTCAGATTATCGAATCTTTGCAAAATTACCATTTAATAGGTATTTCCCTATTAGTATGAGCTATATAATAACCGTCGGAGTCAGCCCTTTGAGCTAAACCAAAATCGGAGATTTTTACGCTATCACGATCTACTAATATATTACGTGCAGCCAAATCACGATGTATTACATTCTTGCTAACCAAGTAGTCCATGCCCTTTGCATATAAAAAATACATTAGCGATATAATGGCTAACATTTGTGATCTGTTCTGCTTACCCGAGCTATATCTAGAGCAAAACCTAATAATTTCTGATTAGTTAAATTTGGTTTACGTGAGGTGAGATATACCAAGAATGAACCACTTTCTAAATATTCCATAATAATGCAAAACGGCCGTTGTATCCAATGTTTAATTTTCACAATGTTTGGATGGTCCAATGTCTGCACAGAAAAGAGAAATGTTCAACGTTTGCGGGAATATTAAAATACCCCATAAGGATAATGCACTAACCTCCATAATTTCTATTTCACGCATGAAATCATCATTCAGTTGGGGAGCTCTTAGCGATTTTAGAGTCTTTATTGCCACCAGTTCTCGGGCATTTATCGGTGTATTATAACGCACTTCACCCAAATGTACAGTACCATAGTGGCCTTCGCCGATTTTATTTTTGAATATAACTTTACCATTTTTAATTTCCAGTACCGAGGGTGTTGTATCAAAATAACTCCGATAATTACTTGGCTTTTTACCATCTAATCCAAAACCGTTGTGACGCATACCATTCAGGTGTTGATTATGTCCCTCGCCGTTATTGGAATCATTAACTAAAACAAATTTTAAAAATAAAAATAAAACTATTATTTCAACCTTTATATCATTTCCTCTTTATTGTTTTAAAATCACTAAAGTGTTTACCAATTCTTTTCCCAACAAAACATGGCTAGTTGTCCTAGCAGTTCGTATCTAATACTTTTGTCATTTTTGTTGAATAACAACTATTTAATAAAATGGGGAGTTTCGAAATCAATTTATGGGAATTAATGGGAATTTAGCGAAAGGAAAGAACATAATTTCATTATTGGGCCGTCTAGGCAAGTAGTATATGGAAATTGAAAAGCGATGAGCTGATCAAACATTCAGATGTTTTTTAAATTTCAGAGTCTCTCTTTTGTATATTAATATCAAAAAGTATGTTCTTATCCTATTTAATTTAAATATCAAATTTTGCATAATTAGGTAAAATAAATGCGTTTTACCTTGATCGGCATCCATTAGTTCATCTGGCCATTCAATAGTGGAATAATCTTCATCAAGATTCTCTTTTATGAATATCAGACGTTGGAATATTTGCATATGGTTGAAATTTTTATGTGTATGCGTGTCAGGTTCTGTACTCCAGCCATCCATCATCACCTCAAACATTTCAGGCGGACAATCATCTGATGGTATCGGCAATATGCCGCCGTAGCGATTATAATTTTGCCGTAAACTTTCACTGGTTACGTGGCCAATCGATTGACCGCGTGCGAAAATCTCCCAAATCGTTGTAGCAAAAGCCCATAAATCTATATCGAGATGTTTTTCAGCAAGGCTAAGATTATTATGATACTCGAATGGTATCCAAGGTAATCTAATTCAAATATTGCAAGTCAATCAATTGATCAATTTTATTATCATCAATAATTATTTACTCATCGCGCCGATATGGTCGAGGGAAACCGTGATCGCCGATTTTCGCCTCTAATAATTGATTCTTGGGATCAAACTTTGTAACATGCAAATTTGAACATCGAATGAATCCGTGTATAATACCATGCTCTTGCTGTAATTTAACAAAAATTTCTAAATAAATATTTCTTAAATTTTAATTTGAATTGAATTTTTGATTAACTATAATATTTACCAAATAAACAATGCCGCGCACTAAACCGTGAACCACATCCAATAATTGATGCAAAGAAATTTTCGATTTATAATGCTGCAGGAATTCATTCAACGGACCAAATTTTGAATATTCCATAACCATCGTGTACGGAGTAGTTAAAGTTAATCCATATAATTTTATAATATACGGTGAATAAATGCGACTCCATGTATTGGATAAATTCATAAATTTCTAAAATCGTTTATAAAATGAATTTATTTTCAGTGTTTGTTAACTATATACCGGAAAATATTTACCGGAAAATCTTCATCATACTTAAGTACTTTTAATGTAACATTTACATCTTTAAAGCCACCTTCTTGCACCCAATCTGCACGCATTTTAATCATCCGTCCATTATCACATTCACTTGATGAATCTGAAAGGATAAAAAACAATAAATGATAATGGATAACAATTAGTCGCGCCAGATTCGAGGGCCGCGGACGGTATTCTATAATCAATCGATTTAAAATTCAATTTAATAAAGTAAAAAATAGAGGCGTTTTTTATTGTTTCAAACATATTGGTTAAGAAAAGATTTTTTCAATAGCCTATATACATATTGCATATGCCTAGATCTGCATTTGCTTCGATATATATTCTATTTTATTGCATACATTTAACATCAAAATTCAAAGCTTAATATATTAAATTGTCTAAAGGCATCGGTTAGAATATTCTTTTTTTTTTTAAAATAAATAATAATGCGTCTATAAATGTTATAAGTAGCAAACATGTCCTGGGGTTAATTAATTGTTAAGGTTAGGCATAAAATTGAAGGAATCAAACAAAGAAAAAATAAATAATAAATAAAAATCGGGTAACTATTTCCAATTATGTATATTGCATAAATAGAAAAATTGAATGTGATATGCTAAATATAATCTAGATGTCTAGGGGTGTCGAGTGCTGAATTATGTCTCTGTCATGAATTGTCAAGCGCTTTCTCAAGCGGCTCGTTCATTTCCGATAGGGGACATTCGATTTAAAAATATCGCAGATAGAATGGTCGATATTACGAGATATACCCTCGGCGAGTACAGAATATTCGTAATCAATAAAGTCTAAGACATGCTAAGAAAATTGATTCAGGTCGTGTAAAGAGCTTATTGTAGTGCGACCTGTTAGCTGAAGGGTCGATTGATCCGAAAAAAACGCTTTGGAATGATTCCAACGATTCAGATTCAACAGCCCTCCTTTACTGGACCTACATATATAAATATGTATATATTTTTACGCAGAATATGAAATTTGTTTGCGCAAAATGAAACAAAACAAGACACATGTGTTCATTTATGTATGTATATCAATGTATTTTAAAGAAAAAAGATAGCTTTTGACTTTAATTTATTCAATTAAAGATGAAAAAAATCCGAATTATGCATATTAAAATCTTTTCAAATCGGAATTCACTACAAATACCAAATACCGTATAAAATTGCCGACTATGTGTATGAAAGAAAGAGAGCGTAGAGAAACTTACTTTGATACCATTGCAGATCGCGTGGTGGATCCAGAATTTGAACACGTTTACGTTGCAGCTCAGCTTCATTTAACTCAGTTTCCGTTTCATTGGATTGAACTTTTTTTGGCGAACATATAGTTAAGAGATTAGATTTATCTAAATAGAAAATAAACTTATTAGTGAATGGAACAAAATCTTTAGTAATATAGTAGCTTGGTACCATACTCCGATGGCTTAATACGAAATCTTTGTTCACTTTCTGCAGGTATAAATTGGGCCAAATCTGCGAGCTTATCAAATGGTTTCCGCGTGCTATTATAATGCAAAATCCATTTAACGGGTGGATTGGTTGTGATGCCATTGTTCACTGTACATAATTTTTTAGTAATTTTATATGTCTCAGTTTTGTACCTCTCCGGCTGCAAGCCAGCACGATTACTGAAGAGCAAATCAATGAAAAACAAATAAAAGGGTTTAGACTGCACCTTATCATACACACATCCGATATTTATATTTCCTTCAGAAAGTACCGGCAATTGTTAAAATAAAAATAAACTAAAAATATTTGTTATAAGCACACGTGTAAACAGTTGGTACAGTATATATAATGCAGGTTAACAAATTACATTCAAAGAGTAAATCATACAATCATGTTATACTCAGAGATTAACATAGTTAACATGAACTATACCAAAAACGAAATTTCAATACACGATTAATAATTGGATAATTTCCTAATTCTTTCCTAATTTTGTGTGAATCTATAGCGATTCGACATGAGGGAAATATTATGAAGTTATTTATTGATAGCAATAACAACTTACGATTTTGTGTTTATATCTATGTAATAGGTGTTGTATTCTTTTTCACATTGCCGTACAATGTAACTGCCGCAATTGTTGCGCCTTTCACGTATCTTGGCAAATGAAACAGTGCCGCTGTTTATGGAGAACGTTTAATGGGGAAAAATATATAAAAATCGTTTCGAAATTTTGCATTACATGAGTGAACAAACCCTATTGGACCGTGACAGTCTATAGCGAACAATTCAGCCAAAGACGGTGTTATATATTGCACACATAAATCCAGCATCCATTTTGTAGTTAATCTAAAATTGCAAACTTTGTGTTTAAATTTGCTTACATTATGTGATTGAGTTTAATAACAAAAAAAAAAAAAAAGAAAAAAAAGAAAAAGGAAATACCTCATATATCCTGATATGTAAGATATAAAGGATTCTAACTGAATTTTTCCCTCAAATTGTATACGATATCCGTGCGGCATACCAGTTATTTCTAAACGAGCGTAAGGAGTTTGTAAATTATTGCTTTTTACGCATAAAGCGTAAATGTTTTCCAACTTGCTGACAAGAATCCACTGATAGGTTAATTTAAAAGTTATTGAAATGATTTTCTATGATTGTAATTTATTAAATCGCTCACCTCCAATTTCTCTTTGCTGGTTATACGAGCCACTTTCAAACCCGGTTCAATTGTGTCAAACAAATCTAGTTTAATGAAAACCTTGGCCTCGGTAGGATTCAATATACCAACTATATTCGTATGTGGCGTTAATTTATCGCCCGGTATATAGTCGACCAAACCAGCAAAAGTTTCTAGTAGATAATCCGGAGCCAAATTGTTTACCTCACGTACATAATTAAGTTTGACATCAGCTAAATCAAGTTGTCGTCTACATAAATGACGAAACGTCTGGCAAATTTTACGTCGACTGAATATTTTATGAGTTTTGACCAACGGCTGTGGCAAATAGCTTTTATAATTCTTTTCAATACGTTCAGCTGATTCTCTTTGCTCAAGCAAATCAATGCACATGTTCATAGCACCCAAACCCATAACATTATCCTTTTTAAATGGATATCGGATGTCGGGTATGCATTCCTTTACAACATCATAACGCATTTGATTGTACAAGTATTCGTAGGAGGCACGGTCCATAATTTGTAAAAGTTCTAAAGATGGTACCTTGAATCGCATTCGAAAGCAATATGTAACATCGGGACGAAGTGGTTGACCGGGTAATACCCATTCGTCAACCTGATTTGCCTCCAATACACGTAAACCAAACAGATAACGAGTATTGGGTAATATGCCCATGTTCCGACTGAACTCAATGCATATATCTTCACACGTAGCTGTAGGTAAATGCTCATATTCAATAAATTTTCTTTTGCAATAATTATAAATGCGATGTGTGATCATAATCAAACTAGTGGAAACATTTTGACGCATCTTCTCTACGCTGCCGCTGTAACTTTGAGAGGCCTGCGAAAACGTTCTATTACTGTCCAGATCATCTTCCAGTTCGAGGGTGATACCATTAGCCAGTAGCGACGTGCTACTAATTGAACTATTGCCATCATCCAACAAAGTCATTGTCGTATGTGTAGTACCCGAGGCATTAGATGCTTGATTCATGCTTTTGTTATTTCCCATAAACTTCTAAAATAATCCAAAAATGTTTTTTCCGCTTTCTTCTTATTAATTTCCTCTTCCGACAAGTTTATGATACACGGTGGGTTGGGTACCTAGGTGCGTGTCCGTCGTTATACTGTAGAAACCCGTTTATATGGCTTTCTTTTCTTGCAATTCTTGTTTTGAGGATACTGCATCCTTCAAATAAAACATACTTTTTGCTTTCTTCTCCTTGTGCGTTTTGCCTGATTGTTTTCAGAGTAGATTTTCTTTTTCTTTTTTTTTTTTTTTTTTTTTTTAGAAAGAAAGGGAAATAGCATCGATATATTGAGTTATCGATGATATAAATATAAGATGATAACAACAAAGTGCAGTTCGTAGATTTTCTTCTAAAATGTTGATGTTCTCAGAAGTTTTTAATGATGGACATCTCGGTTGTGGTTGTATCGTTGTGTTAACTAAAACTAATCATAAACTGGATAGTTTAGATTACTTCATTAATTGAAAACTTCGTGTTAACCATTTGTTTTGATTTTTTTCCTTTGGTTGTTTGAACGAACTGTTAGTTCTTCTCTAACAAATTGCTTCGATCCTTAAAACGATTCTTTTTTCTCTAATTTATTTTTCAATCAGTTTCATTACTTTAGATTACTCAGATTTATTTAACTTCTGGTCTAATACCGGTTTAGGAATACTCTAATCTGGCAGCATTAGGTTGGTAATTAAAATTAAACCAAAAAAATGCAAATTTTTATGAATATTACCAACGTTAGGACAATTTTACGCAAAACTACGTGTCCTTTAATTCAGAAATTGGTACATTAAATTAAATTGCTTAAATTTATTGATTTTTATCATTTTTTTTTTTTTTCCTCTATCTATCCAGATTCGTTTTTTTAGTTTATCACACGTTCAAGCGATGAAATATTTAAATCAAATGGAGGCCACGAATGTGGATGTAGAACTCTTTAATGTTTACAAGTTCAGTGTCGACCAGTTAATGGAATTGGCTGGATTAAGTTGTTCCCACGCCGTCGCCAAGTGTTTTGATGTCTGCAAGCATTCGCGTGTATTGGTTTGTTGTGGTCCAGGTAATAATGGCGGTGACGGCTTAGTTTGCGCCCGTCACTTATCCCTGATGGGATATAAACCACACATTTATTATCCCAAGCGGACTCCAAATGTATTATATGAAAATTTAATGCATCAGTGTAAATCAATGAATATTCCACTTATTGAGAAATGCCCTGAAGAAAAAGAAGTGGCTAATTGTTTTGATTTAATCATAGATGCGTTGTTTGGTTTTAGCTTTAAACCTCCTGTAAGAAGTGATTTTATACCGATTATTGACGTTTTGCAAAAAACCAAAATACCGATAGCGAGGTAAGACTTAGTAAAATTCTCTTAAATTAACCTTGAAAATGAAATTTTTTGCGATTAGTGTCGATATACCAAGCGGTTGGCATGTTGAAAATGGTAAAAGTACGGATTGCGATTTCGAGCCAACGTTGTTAATATCTCTGACGGCCCCCAAGCATTGTGCTAAGTTCTTTAAGGGGACTTACCACTATTTGGGAGGACGTTTTGTTCCTCCGTCTTTAAAAGAGAAGTACCAACTGGATTTACCCGATTATCCTGGAACTGAGACATGTGTTAAATTATAATTCAGTGTAAATTCAATTTTTATTTTTTTATTTCATAAACATAAACAAAAAATGATGCGACTATTTACACAAGCGACTATATTGTTTACGACGTCGGCTTTCTTCATAGTTGGTATTGCGTGCACATTCTTTGACATGACCTTTAGAGCGCAGCATCGCCGATTTGGAATCTATATCTCGCATCGCAAATGGTGACAGTCCCGCTATATAATCTTCATCTAAAGCATTGGTTTTTGTTCGCGCTACACGCGAAGGCATCTGGCGCGGTATGGGTTGATCTTCAAACAATATAGGATTATGCGAGTGCTTACCTCCCCGAAAGCGGGGAATACTTTTATTTTTGTATTTCCTTGTTAGAGGGCGTCTTGTATTAATGTGTATCTAAACCATTCGGTGAAAACTGTGATTTTATTCTTGAAAAATCGTCAATAACTTACCATTTGTTTGCCGTTTTCGTCTAGGCTAACGGCAACTCTTTTTAACGTCTTATTACCACAGTTTGGGCAGAAGAATTTGGTCATTACACTAGTTGTTTTAAAACAAGCGTAACATCTTAAAATGTATGTACGCATATGTGTTATGGTGCAACCATTTAAACTTGTAATGTTTAGATTCATTTGTTTTAAAGTATTTTGTACAGCAAAGTCAGTAGACATGCAGGCTACCTCTGGAATTATATCGTTTCCAATTTTGCCCATCATGGATTGCTTGACTTTTTGAATATTGTTAGGTGTAATCCAATTCCCATCGTCTTCAGTATCACTGGTAGTAAACAGCGAATCGTTCTTGCTAGCTCGTTCATTTTGCCGGGCATTCGTACAGTCTTCGCCATTTTCCGGATTAAGTGTTAAATTGTCACAAAGATTTTCATTAGTGTCATCATCGGCATCACATACGAGCTTATCAAATAAATCTTCCAATTCTTTTTCAGTAACATCCTCAGCCTCTTTCCAATTTTTGGAAATTTTCAGTTGTTTTTCAATGCTTTCCTTAACTTGGTCTACTGTATAATCGTCGATTTGTTTATCTCCGTCTCTTGGCGACTCTTCATTTTCAGTTCCACTATCGTCGCTATCGCCATTATACCACCCGGGTAGCTTAGTATTATCTTGCAATTCTTGAGGTTTTTCTCTTGATGCTATGATTGTCGACATAATTGGTTCTTTGCGCAAATGATCAGTACCCATCATATCCGCTTCCAGTTCGTAGGTAAGCGCAATGACTTTTATATCAATCCCTGATAATGATATATAATCACCAGTTTTCTTCGAAAATTCCACACAATGCTTAACACTTTCGATACGTGGCTCACGCACTTGTAGGTCGTATGGCAGAACACATAAACGCTTAATTTGTCGTTTATTACGTACTTCAGATACAACTTCAGGTACAGTTAAAACATTATCAGCATATTCCTGAAATGTACGTTAAAGAATAAAATGTTTTGGTCATTCGATTTCAGCTTACATTCAATGGAACAGCGTTTATGAAAGCAGTAGTATCTGCGACAAGATATTTAATTTTCTTATTCATTTCTCCGATTGGTTTATTTCGAATTTTACATTAATTTGTCAAAATTCTTTTGGATACGGAGTGAGTATGGGCGTTATTTTAGGAATAAAATAAATATGACACGTGTGTCTTACAATATTTCTAAATAAAAACTCTGCATGGTGATGAGAGAATAAATAAATTGTTTGACGAATTTATCGATTCTTAATGTTACGTTTGCATTGTATGTAAAGAGTATGTTCAATGTATTCCCTATCTACGAAGCTCTGTCCTTGGAAACTTGAGTTCATGCAGCGCATTCAGAAATGTTAAAATATACGATTATAGGTTATTTTCAACTTCGATCAAGTTTACCTAGTTACGTTAGTATGGAAAATAACATAACGGTTACGTATTCCGACATCGCATATAAATATTAATCAAGTGAAAGGATGGTTTCCCTGTCTTCTGTCGGTATGCTAAAGCGAATGGTGTCACTTAAGAAAAAAATTGGAAGTAATGAGAGATAGGCCTTTCCATTTTGCATTTACACAATAAAAAAAATGCAAACCGCTGGCTTATAAGAGCAATTTGAAATGTTTCAGCCTGTTTGTTTATTTATTTATTCAAAAAAATACGATATAAGCCATTTATGACAAAGTGATACATGTGCATCGAATAGTATAATCAAACCTGAATCGTACTTCAACTTACTTAAGTTACAATAAAAATTCATACATAAAGATATATAAGTTCGTACCAATAACCATACTACCAGATCCATATATTAAATTTTTATATTATCTATGTTGGCTGATATTTACTTCGTTAGCTAAAAATGTACCCTTTCACACTGCCTCGTTATATAAGTATCAAAGTAGCAGTCACTTCATTCGGCAAGAAAAATTTCAAACCATAATTTTGTTAATTTTTTCTATTTGGATTTTATTTAATTTATTTTTTATTAATTCATCATGTAGGAATGAAAAAAAGGCGGAAAAGAATGATTCACGCAGACACGCTTATTCTCAAAGGGGCCGGGTGGTGCTGGCTTAAAAAAACAAACATATTTATAACGCACTTTGTAATAATAGATAAAGAAATGAATCTAGTATCAATTTTTTGTGGAAAAAACACCCAATACACCCTTCCATAGTTTGTCTTGCATTTCATATATTTTCATTTCATTTTGCGTTCACTTAAAAGTAATTGGAAACAATTATTTGTACAATTAATATTAAATGCAGATATTTGATGTTCCAACATTATCTTACTTTTAATACGAATTGAAACGTTCCGTCCCGTTGCTGTTTGCGCAATACGTTCGTATTTCGAAACGTTTTAGAAACGAAATTGATCAAATCATCTGTCACCAAAATAATTGCTATTGCCTTCGTAACAAAATGTAACGATTGAAGCCTACTTGCAACGAATAAAGCTATCTACTCGTAACGAATGTAACGATTAAGGCTTTTCGGATTACAGTAATCACAACATTGTCATCTCTGGTTTTCACTTGATGGAAAAAATGGCGACAAATATAATTCTACAAAATAGATGTATTTGCTGGTGAAAAATATGAAATTTGTCTAAAAAAGTGCATTTTGAACAGAAAAAATATAATAAAAAAGTGACATCTTATTGAAATTTGAGTGATCGGTTGACATATTTCATTAAATATTTGAAGAAATTTCACATTTTGAACACTAAAAACTTGTAGTTAAAATCACAGCATACAGAAGGAAAGGTGACTTGGTTAGGAAACCAAATATATATTAACAATGTGGAATCAATGGGCCGGAATGGCGGCTGCTCCATTACCACCTCCTATGGTAGCCGCGCCACCTTTACCAACAACAGCACCCCCACCACCACCATCAGAACCAGCTCCGCAAACACCGACAGTGCCGAATGCGCCTGGCTCGGCAACTTTAATAGGCCCAGTTTTGCCCAGTGTAGCAACGCCCACAGCTCCGCCATTAACTGCGGACATGTCAGCAACTGCAAATCCTTATTCCGAATACACGGCCGCACAATATGCTGCTATGACTCCGGAACAGCAGTACGCTCTGCAACAACATTGGCAACAGTGGCAGGCCTATCAGCAAGAGTACGCTAAATGGCACGCCCAATATGGAGAACAGGTAATTGCGCTCAAGAAATTTTCTCAATGTTTCATTGAATTTAATTGAAATGCTTATAATTTCTAGTATAAAAGAGAAATGGAAGCTGCTGCTGCTAACAATCCAGCGTACGCTGCTTATTATCAGCAACAACAGCCGCCAACTGTTCCAACAACGATTGCCGCAACTGCCCCTAAGCCCGTTCAGCAGCCGGCTAAAATAACAGGCCAACCGCAATTGTATGTTCAGCAGCCACCTGCATTAAACCAGATGAATTCGTCTTCTCTACCACCACCAACTAACGTACAACCATCTTGGCCACATCAGCAACAAGCACAGCCACAATACAATCATCCACCACCAAATTTCAATATCTCACAGCCACCACCAATTGAACCAAGGATAGACGGCGGAAACCAGCATCATTCAATAAACAGAGATGCGAGCGCTAATTATCAAAGTCATCAAAATCGAAGTTATTCTGACAAAAGGGGTGATAATGATAATAACGTCGCAGCGAACGATTACAATTTTAATCAAAATCGTGATAATAATCGTGGGCCACAGGACCATGGCGGTGGGGTTAATGTAAATGCCAATACTGGTTCAGACAATCGGAATAATCGCGGGCCAAATAACAGAAACATGAATAATCGTGGTAGCAACTGGAACATTTCTACAAATAACCGATGCAATGATGGAGCAAATAACTTAAACAATGAACCAGATAATAATTGGCAAGCAAATTTGCCGACCTGGAATAACAGCAGCAATAACAACAACAACAACAACAGCAGCAGCAGCAGCAGATCAAATATTTGGGAGAATAATGATTCCCATGATGGTTCTAACAGTGTGGATAGAGGCCCTAGTTGGAGTGCTAGTTCAGGAAATAAAGGTCCCAATAACCGTAATAATGACGGCTTCAATAATAGAGATTCTAATTGGAATAATAACGGACCAAACAGTGCTCGAAATTCGTGGAATAATAATAATGATAATAATTGGAATAATGATGTTTCAAATAATCGTAGTGGATTAAACGTTCGGAATAATGACGCATTCGACAATAGATCTCGGAATTTAAACTGTTGGGATAATAACGGTTCGAATAACAATTGGAATCAACGTGGTGGTAATAGTGCCAATGCTTGGAATAACGGTCCCAATGGAAGCCGGAATTTTGCTAATAAAAATTCGGATAATAACCAGCGGCGTCTTGGGGGCAGTGGACGAAAACCTCCTGAATTAGATGAAGAAAGTTTCGATCGTCAGTTTCGTCAATGGGAAGAACAGTTCGAAGAATGGAAACGTGCTAATGCTAATCATCCCGATCGCGAAATGTATCGACGTTACGAACAAGAATTTGAAAAACAACGCCAGAGAATTATTGAGCGCCGTGAACAAATGAGGCGCCGTAAAATGATGCAAATGGGCGTGAACTTGCAGCAATCTCCACAAGATTCACAACAACCAAACAATCTACCACAAATGCAAAACCCACCACAAAATAAAAATTCATTAGAAACTAAGAGCGCTCCCCAAAATCGATGTTTAAATCAACATTTAGATGAAGGAAAGGCCATTTCAAGTGCCACGATTGCTATGGACATAGCGAGCGAATTGCCAGAGTCTATCAATAAAGAGGACGCATGCTCGGAATCAACAGACCGAAAGTCCCATTCTTTTAGACGGGAAGACACGTGTGCTTCCTCGGGTAAACGCAGAACTCGTTTTAGTTCACCTCCGTCGAAGATGAAATCGTCGGATGCCTCCACTTCCACAAATACAATCAGCAATTCTATGACTATGGAAATTATAGATCTTGAAGATGATGACGAACAAGATGATAATCCGGAAAACTCCTCTAAAAACATGTCCGAAATATTTAAGAAACCAGATGGCATTCCCGGGTTAGATCTAGTGGAAGATGGTAATGACAAATCTGGCAAAAATGAAGAAACTATTGTTACCAATCCAGTAGCAACTGAAGAATCAACGAAAAAAATTCCATCCTTGTTTGATGTGAAGATAGACAAACCGACAATGGATCAAGGGAAAACCGATGAAGACAAATCGAAACCAGCGGCTTCGGGTGCTATTATACCTGACATAGCCAATTCTTTAAATGACCCGGAATTTATGAAAAAAATATCCGAAGCAGTCGCTAAAGCCCAAGGCAAAGATTGTTTAGATAATGCCTGGCAGGGTAATGATAATGTGCGGTCAGATAATGATGGCCGGCCTCTGACGTTTGCGGAGTGGCAACGCCGCAAAGGTAATGCCCCTCAGAAACGTAATGAACCGAGTGTGGAACGTGACAATCAGAATTCTAGCGACAGTTTTCGCCAGAAACGCTCAAATGAACCCGAACCGGATGATAATAACTCGAATTATAGTGACGCTTACAGTGGTAGCGCAACCGTAGATGCAGAAGAAAAAGGACCTAACTTCAGTGGTAACTTAGCTCCGGATCCCAACAATTTTGGTCCGAATAGAGGAGGTAATAATCATGGACCTAATCACTTCAATAACCGAGGAAAAAATTACGGACCTAATGAATCCAGTAACTTTGGACCAAATGCACCCAACAATTTTGGACCGAATGGGCCCAATAATTTTGGACCGAATGGCTCCAATAATTTTGGACCGAACGGTCCAAATAACTCTGGACCAAACAACTTCGGACCGAATGGCCCCAACAACTTTGGACCCAATGGCCCCAGCAACTTTGGATCAAATTGTCCCAACAATTTTGGACCAAATGGCCCCAACAATTTTGGGCCAAATGGTCCCAGCAATTTTGGACCAAATGGATCCAATAATTTTGGGTCCAATGGCCGCAATAACTTTGGTCCAAATGGACGCAACAACTTCGGACCGAATGGACCGAATAATTTTGGACCTAATGGCCCTAATAGCTTTGGATCTAACTGTCCTAATAATTTTGGACCAAATGGCCCTAATAACTTTGGACCGAATGGCCCCAATAACTTTGGAACGAATGGCCCTAACAATTTTAGAGGTTATAACAATCGAAATTTCGGAGGACCGAACGGACCAAATTTTGGTCCCAATGGGCCAAATAATTTTGGTCCTAATTTCGGCCCCAATGGCCCAAGTTTTGGTAACAACGGTTCTAATTTCAAATCCAGCGGCCCCAATTTTGGTCCTAATGGTCCGAATTTCAATTCCAATGGTGGAAATTTTAATTCGAACTTTGGTCCGAATGGGCCCAATTTTGCATCCGGTGGCCGCAAATTTGGTAGAAATGGACCTCCAAATCGGCGCAGTTTTGGCTTTAATCGTCCTGAAACTGACGATACCCATAGCCAGAGCGGATCGAATTTTGGTGGCGATGGTGGTAATAGCGATTATGATGACCATGCTTCGGATCAAAATACCTCGTCGCGTAACAGAAGTAATCCTTTTCGTCGCAACGATGGCCCCCATGTGCCAGTGTTCGATAACGATGATAACAAACGCAAAAAACGATCGCACGACGGCAGCGATTCATGGGTGAAAGGGTACGTAAGGCAATAAATTAATTTTAATAGATTATAGCTTTTAAATTATTTCCTTCTTATCGATGAACATTTGCAAGTCGGTCCGTCTATAAAGCAAAAAGCATAATCCAGGATGATCTTTAAGTTGAAAATCAATCGAACTTGTTTTGATATAGTTTTTTTTTTTTTTTCTGATTTGTGGCATACCAGCATTTTGTATCTACTTCACCAATCATGTGTTTATATAATGCTTATCCTCTTTCACCGATACTGAAAACGATTTAATTTAACTGAAAAAAAAAAAAAAAAAATCGAAAATCATCTCTGTTAACATTAGCATTTTTATTACCGTTTTATTTTTTTTCTTCTTCCACATTTGTCGTCTGCTTGCTTACGCGCACTATTTGTGTGTAGAGGTGGGAATTATGATAAACCTAAATTCGCGAAACTAAACAAAAAGCGACTACAGTCAGCAATGGATGAATAATGCTCGCGGAATCGTTTAGACGATCACACAAAATCTCGTCATTTTAATTACTCCCTATAGACACATTCGGTAAACTCTCTTCTACAATATTTTCCCATATACTTTTTCGTAAAGTATGTCAGTTAACATTATATGAAAATTATTAAAGCCAAAAGAGAAACATAAAAATTGTGCTTTGCAAGGTATAAAATTTTAAAGTTTGTCATTACATATATGTTAAGTGAACTAACATAAGGACAAAATAAATCCACTTCATTATTATTCATATACTAGAGAATAAAAAAAAAAAAGAAAAAAGAAAACTTCTCTTGTTTTTCAATAAATGTGGAAAAACACGTGTCTTGTAATTTATTTAATAGGGTCACAATCTGTTTTAGGAGCCCCAATAATTGTTCATTTAGATGCTTGTACAAAATCAGAGATTCATCGAAATTTATTTCTATTTTTTTAAATCACATGATAGATAATACGATAAATATTTCAATATTAATAATTTTTATCGCATAAAGGTGGAAAATGAAACGCCTTGAGCAACAAATAATGATTTCCTTAAATTCCGCATTTCCGCATTTCCGCAATTTTTAAGATGCTTTTCCGTCCGCTATTATTAAATTAATGCCATAAATATACAGCAAACTCTAAGCAAAGGGCTTTAGTTATCTATGTGAATTTTCGCAAAAATGCAAAATGACTAACTCGAGCTAAATATCTTTGTTCTTCACAAGGTCAACTATTTACCTAAGCGAGAAATTGTTGTTCGCTACGGGGTGATTTTTAAAAACTCACCATCCTAGTTAAGTAGAGACAGAAAAAAACGTCCTTTTTTTTTTTGAACCGATCCAGTCCAAAAGTTTGGGCGTAATTTCGTAAAAATTAATTTACATAATTATATCTTGCATAACTTGCGTTATAAGGGTGTATTAAGTTTGTGCGTATGTATGCAACACGTATAAGGATTTGAGATAGATCCCCTTTTTATTAGATCGATTGATTGAGAGCCACTTTCTGAATTGATCTTAGCTTGTCAGTCCGTTTATCCGTCTGCCCGTCTGTCTGTCCTGTTTTCAATCTACAGATCGCAATTTTTCAGATGCACCGATGGCCTAAGGACGATAGCTATTAAAAATGGCTCGCAGCGGATCAATTTTTCGCCAACTTCCCTTATAATGCTTTATGCTAAAAAGTCATTATATGATGCATGGTATAGGGTATTCAATGGTGGGTTGTGACCCACTGTAACGTTTTTACATGTTTTATACAGGTTTATATTTACACAAAAATAAAAATTAAATTTGTTTATACTAACTTCAATGACACAACAACAAATCTTTTGTCAATTGAACGGCTCAAATGGGCAAAAACTTGTTTTTATTGATTCCGTTCAGCAATCTCAATTATAATTTTTTTTTTTTTTTTTAATGCTTTTTGCCAATTTTCTATCGATCTGAGAATTATATTCGATTTTCATAATGGAATTGCAACGACTGCGCAGAGAGTTACGTGTTTTATGAAAGTACTTAAAATCCCAAAAAAAATTATTATATAAAAAAAAAAAAAAAATGAGAAAATGGGAAAATTAGAATTGGGCATTAGGTATTTCCATATAAGTCACGTGAAAGAAATGCAAAATGAATTAATAAATGCGGACGTGACATGTGACGTAAATAATGCTTGTAATAAATCTGTGATCAATATCTCCCATAGGCGGCTGCAAGTTAAAATACTTTTTATTTATGATGGGTGGTTGGCCTACGACCTTTTTTTTTTTTTTATATCTAAACTAATTTTTCAGATATATTAAAAACTACGGTTAGTATTTCTGACCGATGATTAAGACAATGATATTTTAGTCGACATTCCGACCTTGAAGTTTATCTCAGTTGAATTTACGCCCAAGAATTTGAACATAATCGCTGAAAAGAAAATTTGAAAAGAGATGCTTTCCCTATGGCCCTAACTTAAACTTATTGGGAAACATTTTCTTTTGTGGGATGCATCGTATATATGAGCAAAAAAAGATAAAACGAATAGTTGCTGTAACCGATATAATTATTGTATAGCGCTGCAAGTACATTAAAGAAGATTTTAATATTAAAAAAAACAAATTTGATAATTTGTTTATTATATGCATACCACATGTTGTATTTTTAAATAGACCCCGATTTGAATGGAACGTAGAGCGAAAATTCGCTCGTTAAAGACACCTTGTTGTATGTCGTGTCGTATATATAGTACGTTCCAAATTATGACCTTCTATGATTTAGTAGCGCTTTTAAAGCGATCACATAAAAATGTACATTTTTCGGAACGTTATTTTTTTTTTGGTCTTGAAGCTGCTTTGATTGAATTCCTTTAGAAAATGTTGCAAAAAAAAAAATTCATTACACGGAAGAAATATTTTCCGTGAAATTTTTAGCTTTAGTTTAACTTGAATGAGATAACCGTTGAGTAGATATGAGGCTGGGGATGATTGAAAAGAAGTGAGTATTTCATTATAAACCTTCTAACAAGAAGTGTTCGCGCGACCAGAGAATGGGAACAAATATAAGAACTTGGACACTAGGACACTTTTATGGTTTTGATATTGAATATGGTTGTGCGGACGTATGTGTTACACTCAGGGCGGCTTAAGATAGACGAACCTTTTATTAAAACGATCGATATAGAATCATTTGCTGAATCGATCTAAACATGTATGTCCGTTCGACGTCTGCTCATGTACTCCTGAGTACAATGTACGGGTCGCAATTTTTGAGAGATTTTCATAAAATTTATTGCACTGGCGTGCTTTAAACCAATGATGACCGCTATTGACATTGGTTCGGATCGGTCCACTTTATCGAGCGTTCCCCATATAACGCCTTATTTTCAAAAGTAATTTGCAATTTTCCAAATTGATCGAGAAAAGTCGCTGAGTAATTGTATGTCGACTTTCTAAATTAGTATTAAAAGTTTGGTTCGTCTGAGGCAATTTTTTGAATCTCTTCTCGAATAACGATTCCTACGAAAAGTGAATTTTTATATGCTAAAGAAATGTAATGTTCAATATTTTATGATGGAAATTGGTTCATAATAGTAAATTGACAAAGAAATCAATGTTAACGTGTTTGGACTATGTAGGTCTATAACTTGGATACAACCGCATGTAAGGATTCTCAGGAAATCCAAAATTTTTTATGCTAAAAACACTAATTATCAATATATTAGTGGATTAAATTTGAACCACTTTGGTCCTCTTCTTTTTTTTTTTTGGACCCCATCCTACATAAGATTTTTTATGAATAGTGAGCCGTTCAGAAAAAGACTTAATTTTTAATATTTTATGAGGAAAGTTGGCTTATTGAAGTCATTTACCAAGAAAATTAACAATAGGGAGTTTGGATCACATAGGTCTATTTTTTAGATCCTAACATATAATAAGGGGCTACAATAAAAAGCAAGCCCTTATATAGAGGGAAAAATCAAAAATCTAGACGGAACTGAAACTGACGGAAACTGAAATATAATAAAATTTTTAGGCAGTACATTAAGTTTTTTAAATTTAGACCATGTCATGTGATGTTTATGGGCATGCTCCGAAGTGCGTGCTCTTATGAAAAGTACGTCTTTGGATGAAAATAATGTCTAATTTTTGGTATATTATTACCAAAACGAATAACTGTGCGAGACGTAGTGGCATAGGGTATCTAATGCTCAGCTTTGCCGGGCTAGTTCTTACCTGTTTTAGATTTAAATTTGCAATTGTTACACACCGTGTTGTGAAGCTTACCCTTACACATTAAACATGCCGCGCGAAAATAATCATTTTATTACTTAAATATTTTTAGTTTATTTTATTCAAACACACGGTACAAGCCACGCGGTCCAAAACGACTTACGTTTGGCGAACATAGCTCATGACAGTAACTAATTTATATAGAAGTTCATAATGGTACCACTAGCCAGACCACCTGAAATAAATGCTTAATATGCTTAATATCCTGCTCGATCGTTATTCGTCTTTTCTTCCGTCGCAAAGAAACTGCCAAATATATATATATATATATATATTTTTTTTTTTTTTTTGGGTATTGATTGTACTCATGTTATTACTGCTTAAGTAGTTGCAGAGCCACATTCATATTCTATATTTATATAGGGCAACTGATAATTTATTTTATTTTTTTTTTTGGGTCATTGTGGCTCAGATTGGTTAAGTTTTGAACTTGTTATGCAAGTTTCAATAAAAAATATCCTGAATGTTTCTTGGGCGTTATAGTCTCTTAGTAAAGAGGGAAATATTTCCGAGTTTTTCTCTGATTGTGTAGTTGTTGTGGGGTACTTGTACCGTTACCTAAAAGATCGATTGTATTCGCCCGCGGCCCTAGCCGTTCAGTTTTAAAATTCTTATGAACCTCGTGGTCTTCTTTGATTCGAAGCATTCTACCGTGTCCGGTGTTACAAAATGCTCGCCAATCATTTGGTGCCTGATTCTGCACATCGGCCTCACATTCACACAGAATGTAATGCATGACATACGCTTGACGTAGTCAAGTTTTGCTTCTCTAAATGCATTTCATGCCAAGTTTCATCTGTTCATAAATACGTATATATAACATCTACACATAAATAACTATATAACATTTATACATATATATATATATATGTATATGTATATTATATATGTATACGTATATGTACATATATATGTATATATATATATATATATGTGTATTCATTATAAAATGAAAACTCTCATCTTAATTATGAATTATTTTGCAAATGCTGTTAAAGCATCTACGGTTGCAAAAAATACGATGCAATATTGTCTTAAACGAACTAAACGAAAACGTATCGCTTTTATGAAACTATGAAACATAATTAACTGATTTATTAATAGCACCATGTTCTTCAAAGGAAGCTTATTATCTTTACTTTTTTTTTTTTTTTTTGCATTATATTAGAATTTTAAGGGAAGATACATATTATGGGCAGATACTTGTGAACGGTAAGGCTGTGTACACGGCGATAACAAGTACAATAAAATTTATCTTCATTTTGATTGTGAGTTGATTTTCAGTTAAGAAAGCTAACTAATATTTTTTTATTTATTATTATTATTATGAATTTTAGGGAAAAATATTACAAAAATTTTTCATAACAATTTTTTTTTTTTACAAATTATTTATTCATGTATGACAAATGTTGCGGAAAGCAAGTCTCGGCTCTTACACAACTTATAGTTGTATAGGTGATAGAATCAGATATAAAAATTTTTTATCGAAACTTAGCTTAGAACAAAAGTTTTCAAAAATTAAATCAAAAATTTCATCTTTTTATTTTTTGAAAATTTTTTAAATTAAATTTATTTATTTTAATTGAGGACAAAATGCAATGAGATTGTATATTATATTGCAGAATTCTAAATTCTATAATCTAATAGTGTTAGCGAGGTAAGAATTAAAGGTGCAATTAGAGCACACTCAAATTGTTGAGGAGTAGCTGTTGTCGGCACCACGTTGTGGTGGTGGTCCTTAAGATACTCTAATTTACTTTCGTTTGCTAACTCCACAGACATAACTTAAAGTGTGTGCGTCAATTAAAAGAAACAAAAAAAAATAAAAAATAAAAAATAAAAAACAGACAGACAGACAGACTAATCAATAATATAACTTCACAAGCAGGCCATCGTTGTCTACACTACTGTCTAGGGGCAACAAGGGAATGAGTGTCAGCACTTAATTATAAGGCTTTTTTTGTTTTTTTTTTTTTTTTAAACCACACATATATAAATCATTTTTATTTACGAAGAGAAAAAATAAATAAATAAATTAAAACCAAATTAATACATAATGACGATTAAAATTTCAAATTTGTTAAATTATTAATTATCTAGGTTTTAATTTGCATTCGTTGGCGTCGAGGGTACTATAAGTTATGTACATATCTATTATAAATAAATAAAATAATAAATAGAATATATTTATAAAAAAGTAAGTCTCACCATTAAATGATTAAACAGTGGCAGCCGTTCACAGCGTACACATAAAAAGGAATTTTTATAATATATATATATGTATATAATATATATATATATGTATAATATTATTTATATATATATATTTATATATATATATATATATATAT